TTCCTTCCTTCCTTCCTTCCTTCCTTCCTTCCTTCCTTCCCTCTTTCTTTCCCTCCTCCTCCCACCCTTTCTCTTTATTTCCTCAGGTCACCTAAGACTGATTTGAACTAGAGAGTCTATTTAACAATTTATCTGGAGAATTACAACTGATGTCTTACTAATATTACCCTAGTTTGTCTGTGTATTTGTTACTGTGGGGAAATGAAACAGACATTGGATTTTATCTGTCAGAAGCTATTTTTGCAGGTGGATCATTTCATTTCTAATAATCTACATGTTCAGTGTCAATAAAGAGCTCCATTTCATACAGAATCACGTAAGTAGAAACACACTTTTGGTGAGGATCAAGGGGAACACCTGATTTCCCCATGACTTGTGCACTCACAGAAACTGGAGAGTGATGCACTAGCCAGTTAGGGGACCTGGGCAGGGTACCAAGAGCATCCACTACACTGGTGATCCTCAATTTAGTCAAGTCACTTCACATATGCTCTATATGCTCTATAGAGCTCCACCCAAAGTGCCAAGCATTATCTAAGTGATCAATAAATAAGATATAATCACAGGCACGGGTAAGATCAAATATCCTCAGGCTCAGGTTATGAACACAAACAGCATCAACTAAACAAAACTTTTGCACTATAATCCTAATCAATTCTGGGCTTTAGAGCCATAACCAAAGCTGCAACCAAAAAGACAAGAAACACTGGGCTAGATGGTGTCTATTATAATAGGTCTCCATTAGCATCTTCCTCGGATGCTTTTCATTCTTCTGTGTCTATGGAAAGAAATGTTGCATGAATATATATATATATATATAAACTCATTGCTAAAGACTGTTGCAGGGTTTCCACATTTGAGAAAAAGGATGAGGAATTGCTAGAAGGCTTTCAAATTTGATAGGTTTTCTCATCTGCGAAATGAAGGTGAAGTGCCGCCATCTTGTGGTTATTTCATGCAATTTCCTTTCCTGAAACTCTCCCTAGTCATTGGCATTTAAACAGTCATGCTCAGTTTAAAGATGGGGATATGTTCTGAGAAATGCATCATTAGGCAATTTTAGACAATTTTATCATTGTGCAAACATCAGAGAGTGCACTTACACAAACCTAGATGGTATAGCCTACTACATACCTCGGCTATATGGTATACCACGTCATATATACCACGTCATATATATAAGGTCAGCCCTTAAAGTGGTACATGACTGCAGCACATTCCATTTAAAAAAAGGTCTCCATTAGCATTGCCCATTGCCCAGAATAAAAACTCTGACTTAATTTACACCAAAATGACACAATAAGCCATAGACTGGGCTAAATAAAAGAGGAATAGATGCTAGTATGATCCTTCCCAATGGGTGAACAGTCCTATCTACAGAGAAAGAAAAGGCCCCAGGCGCCACATGGCTTTAAAGCTTGAGTCTGGAACATGCCTGGGAAACTCACAGCCCCCCCTCAGCTCTGCTGCACATGCAGGATGTTTTCTTAGCTGGAACTTTTGGGGAATCTTTTTGACAACTCCAAACTAATCTCGAATCAAACAGTTTGATAGAGAATAAGACTCTCATCAGACCCAAGCCACTCAACCTGGCCTTCATTCAAGGCTTCTTAGGTTCTGGATCTGACATGCTAGATCCAACTACTAGGTTTCTGTGTCCAGCTACTGACCAGGATGAACTTTCCCCTCTAGCAGGTTCTTATTTCTGGCTTTTGCTTCCCCTCTCCTTCCTCCATCTCTTAATGACCTACACACTCCTATATAAATACCTAAAACCTCTTCTGGCCTTTAAGTCTTCCTCAGGAGCCCAGGCCCCCCAAATTGTGTTCCAGTCAGCCTCCCATACTACTGCATTTCAGTACCTGGTTATGTTCAGTCTTCCAGGATTATAAAATTTCTGAAGTCAGAGGTCAAGAGTTAGTATTACCATTGTCTTTATTATTCCCCCAGATCTCTGCATTGCTTACTCCCTTAAGATCTCTGCTCAAATGGTCACCTCTTCACTGAGGACCTCTACAAAACAATGCAACATTCCTTAACACTTATCAATACCTGATATATTGACATATTTACTTGATTTTGCATCTCCCCACATAATGTATTCTTCATGATGGCAGTGACTTGGTTTGTTTACTACTGTATCCCTGCACCTAGAAAAATACCTGGCATGCAATAGGTATTTAAATTGGTGAATTGAGTAAAACAGCTGGGCCTCTCAAATGTGAGTGGGCATCATCCAATACTTTGAGTGCCAGAGCAGAACAAAAGGTGAAGGAAGGGCAGATTAGTTCTATCTCTGCTTGAGCTGAGACATCCACCTTGTTCTCCCCTTGGACATCCGCGCTCCTGGTTCTTATGCTTACAGACTCAGATGCCCATTTATCTGTCTAAAATATGACTGTGGTTAGCTTTCAGCTCAGTGACTCCTCTGGCTTTTGGTATTTAATCCACAGAAATCTGTTTCTCTCTCTCTCTCTCTCTCTCTCTCTCTCTCTATATATATATATATATATATATATATATACACACATATATACATATGTTTCTACATGCATGTATTGTGTATATTTATACACATATGTATATATGTATATTTAGCTGAGACAAAAGTTTTACAAATCAATACCCTTACTCTATGTGATATACTATTATTTCCTATTCTCTTTCATCCTGTTTTTTTTTTAATGCTGGCCAAGAATGTCTAAATGAATTCTGCAATTCATTAATGGATTCTGACTTGTTTGAAAAACCTTATCTTAGTAGATAAGTACTGGTAACCCCAGGAATATTTAGGATTAAGTATAGAAATAACGAAGTAAATCAAAGTCATAGCATTAACATTCTCCATTACATTCTGAAACCATCTATTTAATTTGGTCTTTATAATGTTTAAGAGAATTTAACATTACAGACTATTTTTGCAATTCCATTTTAAAATGTGAAATGGAGTAACTGATTCAGACTCATGATTGTAAATGGATATATATAACAGAATTTAACCATGTTTGCAAGCAATACTGGGATTATGAGATTTTAAGATTTACCAGCATATTTTTAAGTTTATTATGTTAGGTTTTAAGAGTGAGCTCAGTATTTGTATTTTTGTCAAGTAACTGAATTGCTTAAGAAGAAAACAAAATATATTACATTTATAAATGTACTTTAGTTATACGAATTTAAGTAATAAAAATCCCCTTAAAGATTGTTTTAAATTTACCAGCATACATACTACTTTAGGATACCCAGGTTTCAATATTATTAAAGCAAAGGTAATTTCAAAAGTCGTCTGGGTGTCCAAAAGCCACCCTCTTGCACGGGGAAGCAACTCCAATTCACTTGGAGCTAACTGGGTGTTAAGATTGAAGGGCTCTTTATGAGTTTAACAGGATGAGCAACACGTGGTCCCGCACAAGCAGCTGGGTTCTGTTCAAGGGGAACGAGAAACTGACCTAGCAGACGTGGAATCGTCTTTCGTTTCTACTTTATCGCCTGCCACCGTCATTTTAAAAAATAATAATGCATAACATACAATTTAAAAGGACAAAATCAGCCACGAGGAGTGACTGCGTCAGCGCGCTCCAGACTCCGCTTCCGTCCCCATGAGGAGGAAAGGGCGCGTGGCCCACGGGGTGCTGGGAGGGTTGTCCCCAAGTGGCGGGGACAAAGGAGTTTTAGGGGATGCGGGGAGCAGGGACCGGTCTAGAACCTGAAATCACGGCGCTGCGGAAAGCGGGTTCGGCAACAGTTTGTCTGGGAACAGAGGCCGCGACTAGCGCGGAGCCTCCAGACCGATTTCATCTTAGCCCTGCGGCCCGTAATTTATATTATGAAAAAATGAGGGCCTGCACTATTATCCAGAAAACCGTTTTTCCAAACCATTTTGCTGCCTGCAGAGCCCGGCCCCGGCCCCGGCCCGGGCGTCCCCGGCAAACACACCAGCCCGCGGGGCAGCAGAGGCCGGAAAAGGCCACCTCGCCCGCGCTCGCGCCACCCCCACCGCCTGCCAAGCTAAGGCTATACCATCCCGCGGACCCCTCCGAACTCCCGGAAAGGTATCGTCCCCGGCCTCTGATTGGCCGGCGGCGCGGGGGCGTGGCCTCCGGAGCCTGGTTCCGCGCGCCGGAGCCTGCTCGTCGCATTGCGAGCCGGGCCAGGAGCGGGCGCCATGGTGAGGAGTGGTTGCGGGGTGCGGGCGAGGCGAAGGCCGCGGTTTAGGCCTGGGTTCGGGCCGGAGCCAGGTCCGGGGCCCATCCTGGGAGCGGGGCCAGGTGAACGCGGGGACCGCGCTAACGCTGGGGCCCCGGCTCTCGTTCCAGGTGCTGCTGCACGTGCTGTTCGAGCACGCGGTCGGCTACGCGCTGCTGGCACTGAAGGAGGTGGAGGAGATCAGCCTGCTGCTTCCGCAGGTGGGTGGAAGCGGTGGGCTTGCGGACCTTACGGTCCCCAGCATGCACCGCGCGCTCCCACGTGGCCGGCCGCTCGCGTTGGGGGTGCGCTGAGCCTGAAAGCTCCAGAGCAGGGGGCCCTTACTTGCATTCGAGATTAGAATCGCGTTAGGACCCATTAGAAGTTAGCGTCTTGCCCTCCACCCTGTACCTAAGAAGAAGAACCGGGATTTAGGGCCAGTGATCAATCGGTTCGTTCTTAAAAGCGTTCAATTCTTATTTACGCCCAGGGCTGAGAACCGTTGCTTTACTGCGCCCTAGAGGCAAGAGCGAGGGCAGGAACCCTCTCATCCTTTTTCTCCCCCCAGGTGGAGGAGTGCGTGCTCAACCTAGGCAAGTTCCACAACCTCGTTCGTCTCGTGGCCTTTTTTCCCTTTGCCTCGTCCCAGATTGCCTTGGAAAATGCCAACGCTGTGTCTGAAGGTGAGTAGGCCACCTCCAAGTATTTCAGAGAGAGAGTCGTACAATTCCTGCCACTGTCTAGTTCTCCTAGGGAGTTTATGAGAGTATTTGTTTTCTTTGGCTAATTTATTCTAAATCTGATATGTTCAGGGTGGTGTTTGATGCACACAAGATGTGATTTGAAATAGTCTTAAGAGCTGAAGGTTATAATTAAAGCACACAATCCAGCATGCAGTCTTACCTTGTGGACACTAGGGATAAATGATTCTTAAATGCAGTGGGGAGCTGGTTCAGTGCTAAACCTTCACAAGTAGTTCTCTACTACTCGGTTTAATTGATCGGAAAGAGCATTTTTCATACATCAAAGCCAAGAAAAAAGTTTGCTACCAGAAGGCAAATTGGGAGCTAAATACTTTTGTAGTGCTGGTGCTTGGGTATGTTTTAAGCTTAAGCTTTTGATTACGCGTTTCACACTTCTAGTATTGGACCTGAGTCCTGTTCTTCCCATGGTCCATGCAGGCTTTGCAATGATGACTTGTGTCTGTCAATCCCCTGAGTGCAATCACTGATGTCTCCATGTCTCTGAGCAAAGCCTGAAGGGGAGAGGTGTAGGTAGGCATGCCATCCCAGCATGCTCTGCTGGACCAGTTTAAGAACAATCTGTCACTTAATCAGCAATTGAGGAGATAGGATCCCTTTTATGATTTAAGCATCCTTCAATCTGTTAGTGGGAGCTATGTTTTTTGACCTGAGGTGTTGTTCATGAGGACCTCCGCTTGCTCTTGGAGACTCACCTGCCATCCAAAAAGAAGAAAGTACTCTTGGGTGTTGGGGACCCCAAGATTGGTGCTGCTATACAAGAAGAGTTAGGGTACAACTGCCAGACTGGAGGCGTGATAGCCGAAATCCTTCGAGGTGAGACCATTATCTGTTAACATTCATGCCATTCTTGACATCTTTGGGGGTTTCTGGAAACATTAGAGTGCTTAAGGTTGCTTCTGATAAGCCCTCCTGCCTGGCTGGTGCACATGGATGCAGGAGCTAGCTCAGAGCTCTTCGTTTCTCATAGTCTTGCCCTCCTCCAGGAATTCGTCTGCACTTCCACAACCTGGTGAAGGGGCTGACCGATCTGTCTGCTTGTAAAGCCCAGCTGGGGCTGGGACACAGCTATTCTCGTGCCAAAGTTAAGTTTAATGTAAACCGGGTGGACAATATGATTATCCAATCCATTAGCCTCCTGGACCAGCTAGATAAGGACATCAATACCTTCTCCATGCGTGTCAGGTAAAGTACAGGGGGGCAACCCTTGAGGACGGGGTTGTGGCCTGTGGTTTAGCTAGTTTTGAATCCTGAGATGAGGACTGGCTCCTATGGGTAGAACCATGTGGGGTGGGGCTAGGCCTCCCGGTGCTTACCGCAGGCTGTGTTTTTACACTGACTGTACAGAAAGAGGAGGCAAAGTAAACCTACCTCATATACACCTCAGCCCAGGCCCTTTGCCTGGACTGTATTGTGAATGGGGATACATGGAGTTGAGGTTTGGGACCTGACTTGTTCCCACTTCCTCCCAGGAAAGAGTAGATGTGAAGACAGCTGAGGCTGTAGCTTTATTTGAGACAAGGCAGCTGGGTGAGGGAGTGATTGTGGCTCTTTACAGGGAGTGGTATGGATATCACTTTCCTGAGCTGGTGAAGATCATCAATGACAATGCTACATACTGCCGCCTTGCTCAGTTCATTGGGAACCGAAAGGAATTGAATGAAGAAAAGTTGGAGAAGCTGGAAGAGCTGACAATGGATGGGGCCAAAGCTAAAGCTATTCTGGATGCTTCACGGTCCTCCATGGGTCAGTACAGAGCCTGGCAGCCAAAATAAGTTACAGGGCTCTGAATATCTGGCTCCTGCATTCACATTTGGTGTCCTTCAGGCATGGACATATCAGCCATTGACTTGATAAACATCGAGAGTTTCTCCAGTCGTGTGGTGTCTTTGTCAGAGTACCGCCAGAGCCTGCACACTTACCTGCGATCCAAGATGAGCCAAGTAGCCCCCAGCCTGTCGGCCCTAATTGGGGAAGCGGTGCGTCATGGAGAATGAAAAAATAGGGGATTGAGGAATGTTACCATGTATATCTGTACTGCTGTATTTCCTGACCTACCATATCTTTCACAGTTGCCCTTAAAGTGGGGGAGGTGAAGCAGGATTGTGCAGTTGGTAGGTTGGCCATTCTAGCTTCTGTGACTAATTCCTTGAATCCTTCTTTAGGTAGGCGCACGTCTCATTGCTCATGCTGGCAGCCTCACCAACCTGGCCAAGTATCCAGCATCCACAGTGCAGATCCTTGGGGCTGAAAAGGCCCTGTTCAGGTACCAGTGAGGGCACCTGTGCACACTCAGGTGCCACTTCTGGTGCCCACTGCTTGTTTGGGGATCACAATGATGGCTGACCAGGGCTTCCTGACCTATACAGGCCTCTTGCTATGGGGGTGATGGCCAGTCCTGGTGTCTGAGTGATTCCCAGGGCCCAGCAAAGGGACCAAGTTTCCAGGTCAGCGACATTGGATGCCTTCCCTCTGTCACTGGGAACTGTGGGTTGGCATGGGATAAGAGACCCAGCCCAGCCTGAGGCTCACTCTGGAGTCTGGGAGCAAAGGGGAGGGGAGGAGCTGCCTTGGCTAATAGGGTTGAAATTGCTGATCTTAAACTGTCCACTGAATATTCTTCTCCCAGGGCCCTGAAGACAAGGGGTAACACTCCAAAATATGGACTCATTTTCCACTCCACCTTCATTGGCCGAGCAGCTGCCAAGAACAAAGGCCGCATCTCCCGATACCTGGCAAACAAATGCAGTATTGCCTCACGAATTGATTGCTTTTCTGGTATGAGTGGAGGAGTTGGCATTTGTGAGAAGGGGCTGGGAGGGAGGGGAGGCTGAATGCCTGAGCTTCCACGATGATGGTAACATTTTTCGTCAACAGCAGTTCACCTAGTGAGTGTTGATACTTTGGGTCTGAGTGAAGCTGAGGGTAAAGGAAATGCTGGGGGCGGGGAGTGGTTTGTCTCTTTAGGAGCTGACAGGCTTTGTTTACCTACACACATAATCCAGAGGTGCCCACAAGTGTTTTTGGGGAGAAGCTTCGAGAACAAGTTGAGGAACGGCTGTCCTTCTATGAGACTGGAGATATCCCACGAAAGAATCTGGAGGTCATGAAGGAGGCAATGGTTCAGGTCAGTTTAGGCTTTGCTAGGTGGGAGTAAATCATAGCTGACTGTTGGAGGTGATGAACTATCTTAGCCTGACCTTATAGGTGGAGGCAAAAAACTGATTTAATGAGCCTGATCCAATAAAGCCAGGAGAGGAAGGCTTGGAGGGCTAGAGGTCTTCAGAGTCTTTTCAGCACTTTTCTTTGGCCAGGCTGAGGAAGCGGCTGCTGAAATTTCTAGGAAGCTGGAGAAACAGGAGAAAAAACGCTTGAAGAAGGAAAAGAAACGGTTGGCTGCAATTGCCCTTGCATCTTCAGAAAATAGTACACCGGAGGAGTGTGAGGTCAGTAGGCAGATTGGCCCTAAGTGAAGAGCCTGGGTTTTAACAGTTTTCAACAGCGGAACAAAGGATGTGTGGCCTCAAAGCCATGGTCTTGAGTCCGGAGTCCAGGCTGAACTCTAAAACTGCCTCTTGATTCTATAGGAAGGAGATAGGTGCTGAGAGAACTTTCTCAAGAGCCCAAAGAGCTGGTTATAGCACACTGGTTCCCTGGGCAAGAATGTTGTCCACAGCTGCCTCCCAGGAGTCCTCAACCGGGGATAGTGTGAATTCCTGCTGTTCTCTGTGTTGTGTTTGGAAGTGGTAGCATTTCTTAGTGGGGATGGGAGCAGGGAGGTCTCCCAACGTGCTGTAGGTTAGGATCCTCCCTGGGATTTTAATAGTGCCCAGTTTGTCCAGGTTATTTCAGGGTCCCCTCTGGAACCTGGCATGACAGTTCTATTGTGACTAGCATGGTGGATTTTTCTATAAGTTATTTAATGGGCTTAAATAATTACATGTTCTCCCCACCTTCTATGTGGTAGTCACCCTCAGGGTGGATTTCCAGAGTTTTATCCACACAATTAAAAATCATCCCAGAAACCTTGTGCAGTTAAACAGCATTTCCACGTCTTTCTGTCCTCAATTGCTGGCTCGTTAATGGGGTGAGGGGGTGGGTGTGCATGCAATGAGTGACAGTTTCATGCCAATGTCCCCTTCTAGGAGACAAGTGAAAGACCCAAAAAGAAGAAAAAGCAAAAGTTCCAGGAGGCTCCTCAGGAAAATGGAATGGAAGACCCACCTGTCTCTTTATCCAAACCCAAGAAAAAAAAATCTTTTTCCAAGGAGGAGCTGGTTAGTAGTGATATTGAGGAAACAGGTGGCAATGGAAGTCTTCCCAAGAGGAAGAAATCTTTCCCCAAAGAGGAATCCGTTATTGACCCTGAAGAGGCAGGAAATAGGAGTGTCCCCAAGAAAAAGAGGAAATTCTCTTCCAAAGAGGAGCTACTCAGCAGTGGACCTGAAGAGGCTGCTGGCACCAAGAGCGGCAGCTCTAAGAAAAAGAAAAAGCTCCAAAAGCTATCCCAGGGAGATTAGAATGGACAGTAGCACCCTGGTGGGGTAGAACCACCCAGTGACATTTCCCGACCCCTTCCCTAAGTCCCAATAAAAACAAATTCACAAAAGTTACGATATATATAACGTGTTTTATTGGACACCTTTACACATGTGGGTGGGACCTATGGGTGGGACAGGGCATCAATGACAGCCTCAGTGAAGTCGCGGCAGGTGGCATAGCCACCCATGTCAGGAGTTCGAACCTGTGGGGGAGAATTGTCGTCATCCCTGTGGCCTGGGCCCATCCCTAACCCTCCCCTGATATAACATAGTCCCTTAAGGAAGCCAGCCCCAGGACAACCTAGGCTCTGCCCAGGTGATCATGGTCTGCAGGTTTAATGGCTCTTGTCTGGTCCACTGAACTGAAGGGAAGTGTAGGTGGTATGGTCCTCATGAGGTTGGAGGGAATAAAGGGCTCTAGCCCCCATAGGGGTGCAGGTGGCCGATGACAGACTTGATGAAGTCGGTTGTGGTGCTGTAGCCGCCCATGTCTCGTGTCCGCACCTACAGCCACCACCGGCAACAGCCGTGGGGAAGAAGAGAAGAGAGCCCATGAAGAAGGGGTAGGGCAATGCGATGGAGATGGGAGTCCAAGAAGGGGTGACAAGGCCAGGAGACAATGCAGCAGAGATGCAAGGAGGTGGCCAGGTTGGAAGAGCGTGGGCAAGGCCACTCAGGTCTTCTGAGGGCCAGAGCCACTATTAGAGCTATGCTGTGGCCTGAACAGAATAAATGGGAGGCTGAGCAGGAAGGAAGATGGGAAATGCAGATCAAAGACAGGATGAGGATGCCTTGGAGGAAATGAGACAGACCAGGTGGGAGGAAAGAAACAAGCAGGGGAATGCAAATGAGGATGAGCTTCCAGGGTGGAGGTGACTTGACACCTCCCATACCTCATCCTGCCTGCTATCTCCCTCTGCCCCTCCATCCCCCATGCTCTCCCCCCAGAGAGAGCTGCAAGTTCAGCATTAAGATGGCCCATAAAAGAGCGATGGATGGAGCAGGAAAGAAGGAATAGCATATGGGAACTAAGAGGCAAAGGAGATCAAGATGAAACAGCCAAGAGAAGGGAAGTAAAGAGTAGCCCTGAGAGGGAAGAGGGAAGATCAGAGAGCAGATATTCTGGGGATCTAGAGGGAAAAGAGGCCCCAATTCAGGTTACCCAGAGAGTAGAGCCAAGGCCTTGAACCCCACAGCCTTTCTAAACTCACCTTGCCAACTTTGATCACCTTCTTCACTGCATCTGCAATCATGTTGGAGTGATACTCTAGACTGTCAATGTGGACAGGAAGAAACTGAGATTCCCCACTCACTGGGCCCCGATTTCCCCACCTGTGCTCTTTACACCAGCCTCCTCCCTCAACCCACCACAGCCTACCCACAACCTACTTGAGGTGCCGTAGCATGTTGGAAGCTGACAGCAGCATGGCTGTGGGGTTGGCTATATTCCTACCCACTGCCTGGGCAAATGGGTGCCGGGCACCCTGTGGAGAGAGGGGCAGGCCAGAGTCACTGGGAGCAGGTTATGCAGACATTAGGGTCAGGGAAAGGCATTAAGGAAGAGAGGTCCGGCCAGGAACACTGAGAAGAGGAATGGGGGAAGGGGGCAGGAGCAGGCCAGGGTCACTTAGAAGGGGATCACATATGGGGGGAACTGCCAGGGGGGCCCTGAGGTCAGAAGAAGGGCAGGAGAGGGCTAAGAGAGGAGGTGACCTCACTCACCATTTCAAAGACTGCATACTCTGCACTGTAGCTCTCCCCAGGGACCACACCAGCTCCCCCAACCAGGCCAGCAGCCAGATTGTCAATAATGTTTCCATAGAGATTGGGCATCACCAGAACATCAAACTGGTAAGGATTCTGCACCAGCTGGGGGGTGGGGGGTAGGAGGAGAAGAGAAGTAAATTACACTCCCCGCCCTCCCTCAGCACTGTGAGTATAGACATGAGGGCCTTACCTGCATGCAGCAGTTGTCTATGATCATTGTCTCAAACTTGATTTTGGGGTATAGTTCAGCAACTTCCTCACAGCACTGCAGGAACAACCCATCCCCAAGTTTCCTGTCCATGGGCCAAAGAAAACAGATTCAGCCAAGAGAGTGCAAGGGACTCCCTTCCCAGGAACCTACACCATACAAAGTCATGTCCCTCACATGATGTTGGCCTTGTGGACAGCCGTGACCTTGTCCCGCCCCTTCTTAGTGGCATAGTCAAAGGCGAACTTTGCAATCCGCTGAGATTTGGTTCGAGTGACAATCTTCAAGCACTCAATCACGCCCCTTGCACTCTGGGTAAGAAGAGAGAAGCAGCTGAGTGACACTGGAAAGAAGGAAAGGAGCTGTCTCTCTCCCACCTTCACCCCTGCCCTCTCCAATTTCTAGGGCCTCACCTCATGTTCCAGAGAGCTGTACTCCCCTTCGGTCTGCTCTCGAATGATCACCAGATCTAGATTGTTGTGTCGAGTCACGTACCCAGGAAGTGACTTCACATGGACTACGTTGGCAAACAAGTCCAACTTACGCCTAGGGGTGGAGCAGAGCCATCAGCACTGTGCCTGGTGCCCCAGTGCCCCTCCGACCCATGGCCCCCACCACCTACCTCAGTCGCATATCGTAGGAGGCTAGTTCCCCCTTATACTCCATCGGGGTGTGGATCTTTCCTGCATAAACAAAGTTGCAGGGGCAGGGAAATGTCAGGCATAGGCCAAGCCCAAAGAAACCCAGATCGGTGCCCAATACCCTCAGCAACCTGGACTCCCATCTCCAACTCCCAAATCAGTGACCCTTAAATGCCTCTGGAGGCAAGGGGCAAAGAAGAACAACACAGTTAAAACCAGAGACATTTTGTCTACTGTTTTAGTTTTAGTCACCATATTTAATTTATGTTGAAACCTCAAAACGACCCTAAAGGAGGACAGAAGATTTTTTCATGTCATCAAAGAGCCTGGGTCTAATATGTTGAGAAAAAATGCTAGGGGATGTGTGACCTTTCTTAATGTTTCTGTGTCTACCTATATGACATTTTTTCAACCAACACTTACTGAATATCAACCATGTGTAAAGTACTAGGGATATCAACCAAAAACACAACACACAACTTCTGTCCCCAAGGGGCAAATAATGCAACGGGGCAAACAAGATAATACAAAATACATGGCAAAAACCATGGGAGAGGTGTTAATGACGTACATAAAAACACAGGAGAGGAAATTCCCTCTGGTAATATCAGGAAGGTGTCAGAACAGCTAACACTTCAGCCAGACCTTAGGTTTAGTGAGTGTAGTAGGTTGAATTTTGACCCTCAAAAGTATACGTCCGTGTCCTAACCCGTGACCTCATTTAGGAAACTAGTGTTTGCAGATATAATTAAGGATCTTGAGATGAAATCAACCTGGATTAGGGTGGGCCCAAAATCCAACACAAGTACTTATACAAGAAAAAGAGAAACAGATACACAGGCACAGAGAGGAGAAAGCCATATGAAGACA